TTTTTTTTTTTTTTGATTGACAATCAATCGACTGAGAAGAACGGTGACAAAATGATGAACTCACAAACTTGGCAGTCTAATCAAATGATAGAGAAGTTTCGTTTCTCTTTCATTTGTCTGAACACGATCAAACGTCAGTTTCTAAAACACGATAATTTTCCACCACCCAATTCGAAAGAATTTCAAGGGAAAGATCATCCGTAAAAGACTTTTGACCGCGCGCGCGATTACTATTCTTCGAAGTGAAGGACGTGGATGGTGTTGCGATGGCCACGCCATCGTGAAACGCGGGTGTACGTAGGTGCAGGAATTGCTTTCTGGCCGAGGTTTTCGATGCGTCTAGAATTGCAACGGAGGGTGCGGCGAGCGGTGGCTTGTTGCTCGAGTGACTCCTTCGCCTTCTCTCTATTCTATCCCTCTGTCTCTCTCCAACCTGTACCCTGTCATCCTTCTCTCTGTCGAAGCTTCTCCTTTTCCTCCTTGTCCTTTCGCTTCCCCCGAACCAAGGCCCAGATGGCGGGTATTGATCTGAATCCGGAGAGCAGATCGCCTGGAAAAACTTACCCCGCGGATACTTACCTACCCACCTTTCGCTATCTACATGCACCTATCCTAACCTAGCTTCACCCACTCACGTACACCGAGACCCGCAACCTTCCGGCTGGCGTCTACGTGTAGGTAAATGTATTTCCGCTCGCCCGAGCAATGGATAGAAACGCGGCGATGCACCGCTACGTGAAATGCACGAAACGGAAAACGCGCGCTACGGATACCTTTAAGTGATTGTTCACGCCGATTGATCGCCGTGAAAATCGATTCGCTGATCGATCCCGATGTACGCTACGAACAATTTGAAAATATTCGACACTTCTTCCTTCGAGGCGGCGTATTTTAATCGGGGAATTGGAGAAACGATTTGATCGTCCGATGTTACGATCAACGATCTATAAATGAAGCATTTTTATACCAGATCAATTAATACCCTTCGAAACGTTAGATTTCACGATATCTCATTTCCTTCGCGTACAAACTTTCATGCTGCTAGCTTTTGATATTGAATACAAATTTTTTTATTAAATAAAAATTTCTGTAACATATTTCGTCATTTTGATCGAATACGCTTCGACGTATAGGAGGAAACTTTTAAAACGAATCCTCAAAGAATGAATCTCGAAAAATCCCTGCAGAAACGTGTCATTTGGTTACTTTATACGCTTCGACGTCGAAAGAAAAACGACAAAGCCGAACGAAATCGTTTACAAAATATCGAAACGAGAGAAAGACAAAATGAAACACAGAAACGATTCCGTGGCGAGGTCTGTCCGGTTGAAAGCAGAAAACGGGACGCAGAACGCGAGGGTGAGGGCAGAGCGGGCAACGCCGGGATTTCTCCCATTATGAGCGTGTCTCGGTTTTTCTAGCCTTCGAGCTAGCTTTCGTACGGAGAAATAATGATACGGCTAATATAATGTATTGTCCTGCTTTTGCCGGGGCACTTCGGAATGAGACCGGGCCGCGGAACACGGGATACACGGAGAGAGAAAGAGAGAGAGAGAGAGAGAGAGAGAGAGAGAGAAATGGAGAGAAAGGAACCAGGACGGGTTGGTGGCCACACGCGGTAAAAAAGCAACGGCCGAGGAGAGCGAAATAATGGAGTGGCTTTTGCGAAAAATAACAGATATATATCCTGCGACTATCAACCTAAGGATCGAGGGACGCGGCGGAAAAACAGGCGAAAAACGTGGCCAAGATTGGACGGTAACTGTTTCCAAGCCTTGTTTCTACTTTGCTGAATCGACCGAGCAATCTTTTCCTCTCTCTTTATTCGTTACCTTGCCAGCCTTTAATTCTCGAATTTTCATCAACGATTTCCATAGTTGAATTAGCTTACATTTTCCAATGCTTTTCAAAGCTGTAAGGGAATTTAATTACAAATTTCGTTGACCTTAGTAAGTTTTATTATCCATTATTTATTACTAAATCTTTATTGTGATAACGATGGAATAAAATATGTATAGAAAGAATAAGAAGAAGTGATCGAGGGACCACGAACGCGAATGAACACAAACTTTAAAAACGATATCCAATTTTAGATTGTTACGAGACTGTGAATTATGATTTGCACGTTGTTCTAAAATGTTAGTCGTACAGAAAAACAACATTAATTTTTTGAGAAGTACTCGTATGTTATGGTCTGGGAAATAGTACTCATATTAACATTGTAATTAAGTTATTGGTTAAAATGACCAATTCATTTCACAAAATCAAAACATACGAATAAAAGCGATTCAATAATGTACACTGATGCATATAGTGAATTTCTAGTGAACTTTCACCTTTTCTCTGTTTTGAATTCCACGCTTTCAATCGTCAACATATACGAATATACGATGAGATCTTTAGTAATTTGCCATCAATAAGCACAAACTTCCTCTTTTTTTCTTAATAAACAAAGAGAAAAATATTAGGGAAGGATTGAAGGAAAGAGAAAGTAAGGAAAGAGAAATTATTGCGATGGTACCGCGGCGAATTTTCGGAGGAAATATTGATAGGCTCGGCTTCGGGTGCGGAGTCACGCTCGAGTAGCCGGCTCTAAGCCCGAGGTCTATCTTACGTACACATACAGAAAATCGAAGCGAACGTGTAGAGGCTCGACTTTCCCTCTCTCTCTCTCTCTTTCTCTTTGCTTCTCTATCTGTCTGCGTTTCTCTCGGAGAGAACGCCTTCCTCCTTTCGACCGTGGAGGAAGTCTCAGGGGCAGATCGATAAGGAGCGAGGTTCGCCCGAGGGCTTTACGCCGGCTTCACAGCCTCCTTCTTCTCGTTTCCTCCTCGACGCAACCCCCGAGACGTCACGGCCTCGCGTGTGCCTCGCGCGTTCGCCCTTTCTTGCGGCTTTTCACCGAGTCGATAGCACCAAGGCCTAAAGGAGCATCACTCCCTCGACTTCCTGTTGTTTCGTCCGTGGATATCTCTTTTATCCGACCTACGTCTTTATCGTTAACCTGTTAACCGATGGCAAATTCATACGTCGCCCGTATTCTTACATTTGACACATTCCGTTCAGTTGCAATTCCATGGTATCATCGTTGTTATTTTAACACTCTCGGGAACGAATTTTCTGAATTACACCACAAATTTCCTCGGATGGATTTTGCAGTCGATTTTAAAATCCAGTTTCAGAAGGTGATTAAAACCATCTTTCCACTTGATTCTCGAATTAAATACGTGATTCTATCATCCTCGCACTGATCACGCAATCTAATATACAGTTAATTAAGGTACCAAAATTCGAAATTAACTTGCTAAACTAGTTCATGTTAAGATCACGAGATTTTAAATTTTTAAGAACTCTGTGAGCTCAACTGCAACTTCTATCCTAACGAAACCGATCCAACGAGAACGAACTGCTCTAAACAAATTTGCCTTTCCATTTCAATGGAAGAACAAAAAAAGAAAAAAAGAAAAAGAAAATCAGACTCGGCAGTTCAACTACGAATAATCGAGCTAACAGGTTGAAGAATGAATTTTCAAACGAAATCGGAATCTGTCTGTCGTCATGGTCTATTCATCATCCCCCCTCGCCCACCCCCGGCAACTTTAATTCGACGTAATGACCAGCAACGACGAACGCAGGCAACAACAGTTGGTAGAAAATCTGTCGCTGGGAATCTCTCGATGGAATTGTATCAATCTGTCATCGCGAACGTGCAGCAAGCGTCGCTCTCCTTTTTCTGCTATCGT